GTTCACTCGAATACTAGACACCGTAGGTCGGAAGCAAAAGAAAAGAGATCGTAGTAAGGTTAATAATTGTTTCGATGGTTGGACAATCGAAGCAACTTTTCAAGAAGTGAATTATCAGAGGAGAAATCCCAGCAATTGGCTTCAATTTATTGCCATCGATTGTAATTATTCAAATGGCTGTGTGGCCAAAGTTTTTGTTCTATTTTCTCCTTGGCCATGTTTTCCCATTCCCACTGTTGTGTTTTATATATTTTTCTTGTTCTGGCGGTTCGTTGTTTTCCTCCCTTTGCTGCACCACAAGTGCAGCAGCGAGTTTTTCCAGTTGACTGGGACTTGGACTTGGAGGAACGGGACGCTATGCAAATTGTTTGCGGAACTTGGGCTAAATGAGATGGATGGCAAATTACTTGTTTTAACTGCAGTTCGAGGAGCACTGCACAGTTGCAGCTGCACTGCCACTTTAATTGGGATGCAATAACTGTTCTTCTGCCGTTCGTGGAGTTACGTAAATAATTGGCCCATGGGAGGGGGCAGTGGACAATCGGCCAGACAGAAATACTCGAATGGAATACAGAGAAATACTTGCTAAACAAACAAACGGCTGAAAGCCGCCGGATATGACACAAAGCCATAGCAACAGGCCAAAAGAGGGTACGGGAAAGGGTGGGGGTGGGGGGAGCAGGCCGAAAGCGGGAGAGAACTAACACCCAAAACGTGACATCATCATATAATGATTTCTAGGAATAGTCAACGCCGCTGGTCGCTGTCGCTGGTCGCTGCCGCCGCCAATCATAAGTACGGGGCCTACAAATTGCAATTAAATGTGAATAAAGGGTAAACGCAGAGTGGAAAAGGGAAAATGGGAAAAGGAAGAGGGGAAAGAGACTCCCCAAAGATAGGAAGAGGCAGACGAACGATCACGGTGGACAATGACCCAGGTGGAAACTGAGACAAACTTTGATGATGACGATGACGACGCTGACGCTGATGATGGTATTTAAAATAATACGAGCAGTAAAGCCAATGCTCGAATAAACAACAATTAAACTTAAACGCAAAGTGCGTAACAGCCGAGAAAGAGACAGCAGACAGCGGGATGGAAAGACAGAGAGGGATAAAGAGAGAAAGAAAGGAGGAAGCACAACCATGGATGGAAGTAGAGATGGGGGCATGTGGGCCACGAAAACTCAGATATAATATTTACTCACTATAAAATGGGATGAGGAAGAGCTTAAACCGATTATACATGTTTACTCATGAACGATATCGGATGGAGCTCCAACAAGAATTTACAAACATCAATCAGCTCAAGTTTACATGGCCGCAAGCAAAGTCTTATTAAAATGGGTATTTCCCTCAATAGATGTAGTATTTGTCTACGTAACCAAACATACTATACATACATATACATATCAAACGAAAGGTATTGAACTGTAGATCATATAATTATATATTTCCTTTCAATAGAGACCTCCCTGGTCAAAAGATATTTCCATTCAATTTTGATTTTTGGTTTAAAAAATTAAATATAAGACTTATTTTCTGATTTTTATAATAAAAATTCAAAATTGAATTCTTATTTCGTAATTTTTACTATACAAATTATAAGTTTTACGGTCTTTGCTTTTCATACATTTGTAAACATTTAATTCCCCCACTCTGTTTATAGTTCATACTTTCCATTGGCACCCACGCAAAACACTCACGAGACGTGTCCATCTCTAGGCTTTCAGCCAGACAATGACCCAGGCTTTAAGTCAAGACACAAACCAATGGTCAACGGATGGGAAGGCATAGGGGGAGGCAAAAAAAGAGTCTCTCATTACCATACAAACGAGACTAACAATTGGCTCACAGCATGTTGCAAAGCTCAGTGAAGGCCAAGGTCAGGCTGGCAACATGTTGCGGCAAAACCTTAGCAATGAAAACCAGTTTCCCTGATCTACTTCACCATCACTGGCAACATCATGTGGCACGATCACGAGACGATTTGCAGCAAAACTCGTACTCGTAGACCTACACTGAGGTCACTGAGATGCGCCGCGTGATGTTGCTGGCAACATTAGCAACAACACATACGTGCTAATGGCGATAAGGAAAGAAGCGACACCACCAGCGAATGCGAATGCCGGAGAACTTTGGCCAAGACCAAAAACCACTTAAAAAAGGTCAGCCAAGAGTCACAGCACACACACACACAAAAGACTTGCAAAATGAAGGGGAAGCAGCAGAAAATCCATTTCCCAAACATTTTCAGTGAATGCCAAAAGACTTTGCAACATCAAAAGAACTTTGCACCATTCTGCAGGCATCTCTCGCACTCTGCCCCCTAATTCTATCCCCCTATCCCCCTTCACCTTCAGCACTCCATCCCTCTGATTGCTTCTTCCTCCTCAAACTAATAATCATGACTTGTTAATCTTTACGCTGTTCCTTCTCACTCGCTTACATTTTCGCTTCTTTTTCTGACCTTTTCTACTTGTACGCGTATCACGGTTACTCTTTGTACTCTTTGTACAATTACTGGTTGGGCATAGGCGACTTGTATGGGAAGTTTGTGACGAATCACTCGTGTCGAATGGTCTCGCTTTGTGTCTTTTCAAACTAATCTGTCCGTTCGTTTAGGGGAAATTTGTGGAGATTAGAGCCCTGTCTGCATCGATTGGGTGGGATTCGGTATTCGTCTCATTCGCTTAGTTAGAATCCAAAAACGTTTTTTTTTCTCGCTCACTATTCATTTGATTTTCTGCTAGAGACACAAATTAGCATTTTCTTTTTTATTTTTTTTTTTGGTGCCTGAAAATTGTTAGTTGGGTGCGTGCGCGTCCAAAGCCAAAACCTTTCATTGATTTACACTGAAGACAGGATTCGCAGTGATCGAAAGCATTAAAAAGGCATGAGGTACAGCTGTGATTTTATGAATACTGTGGGTACATGCAGGGCTCTAGTACACATAATAAACTTTTCTCTCTGAGTTTTGTAAAATTCATCTATTTTTCTAGGGTACTCCCTATTCCATATACATTTCTTTCTGTATATGTTCTGTATTTTATAGTATTTTTCGACATCTCCTAAGCTGGTGGGTGTGGGGGGCGGAATGGTTTGGCTATGCTGTTGGCTGTTGGATAGTTTTGTTGGTGCTGTCTTTTCACGCATTATCATCATCATTGAGAGAGTCGGAGAGATGATTACTGGAATGGCGCTGACTATTATAGATGATGTAAGTGCAAAAAGGCATTGAACGTTACTATTTACTTTTTTCCCCATTTTGCTTTGCTTCTTTCATCTTTTCTGTTTCGCTACTTTTGTTAACCAAAACTTCGGAAGCAATAAACTTGGCACAGACTCTGGTCAGACGGCCGCACCGCACCGCACAGACACGCTGAACCGCACACCAGAACCTTTCACTTCGATCTTAAATGTTAAATTCCACTAAGCAGCTTAGGGCCCGTCCCCCGAGGCAAAGTTTAGGGAAAACTTTCTGGCTATCCTTGGAGGAAAACACTCTCATTGACTCCTTGCTGGAGTCGTTGCCAAAATGCAGTCGTGGGTGTTAGCAAAAGCAAAAGCAGTCAGCAGCCAGCAGCCAAACAGACAAAAACGAAACCATCATCTGCAGTCAGTGGCTTGGAAGCTACTTGACTGCACTTTCTGTTTAGCTGCGTTTAGCTTACCAAGTATTTTTGGCACTTAACCAAGGTTAAGTAAGTCTCCGACATTCCCACTGCCCCCACCCCTACCCCCACCCACACCCCGTCCAACAAAGGACACAAAAAACAAAGCCATAAAGAGAAGAAATGGAGAGTGAAAAACAAATATTGGGGGCGAAAGAGTGGCTTAAAAAATGCCTTTTAAGGACTACTAAAAATAAGTTAAAGTGCTGTACATTCATTTTCATTTGGATATCAAGGGTTTTCCTTGAAGAATTCTTCTGACTTAAATCAGTTCAATATACTTTTGGGAGATGGATTTTTGGTTATCCGCTCATTCGACGGATGTTCCCTTAGGGGAACCCTATTGCAATACTTTAGAAATATACTCATTCGTATATGACTGGCAACCACATAAGGGGCACACTGGAAGCGGGGCAAGTTACACCAGACGATACCCATCTATCTATCGATAACTACTCTGAGAGTCGTTCGTTTTAAATCGATAATTCGAAGCAGCCTTGTACTCGTTGTACATTCCCACATATATTCCATCTGTTGATGAAATGGAATTCTTCAGATTCTTCAGTTTAACCTGGTTTTACATTGTTGTCCATTGCTACCTCTTTAAATACTTCTTCAACTATTTCTGATATTCCTTGTGATTTTTATTAGCTTTTCAAGGTCTTCATTTGGGATGCGGCAAAGTGCTCGCTCTCTTGCAGCACTTTTCTGGCTTCACTCGTCCGACGAGATCATGGGAGACAGAGCAAGGGACATAGAGAGAGATAGATAGAGAGGGAGGGAGAGAAATAAACGAGCAAAGTGCGTGAACAGAAACAGCAAAATGGAAATTGTAATCGAAAACGAAAACGTTACGCATGCGTCTTTTCTCTCCACCCAAAGGAAGGCGGGTGGGGTGGGGTGGGGTTTGTTTCCATGGAAATCCGCATCTGCTGTGCCGTTTTTGCCTTGGCTGTTGCTTTTGCTGTTCCTGTCGCTGGACTTTCAAACGTATCGAATATCAAAGTCAGAGCGAGATGGCTACAAAAGGAAGGAAAGAGACGGGCTGATGGCAGTACAAATTGGAAGCTGCAAATGGAAATTGAATGCAATTGGAAACGTGAGGTTGGGACTCGCACCATAAAACCATCCCACCATCCATCCAACCATCCTCTATGTAAATCTCTACTGTTCAGTGAGCATCATTCGCTGCCGAGCTGGAACTGGAGCTGGAGATGAAATTGAATCCGCTCCGCTCCGGCTGAAATTCCGGCTGAAAGACAATAAAAGTACGCGTGTGGCCAGAAAGATTCGTCACAAGGCGGTCGACACGCAACGCGAAAGCAGCAGCAGCAGCAACAGCAAAAACCAAACAAAAGTTATGGCGACATGGACCTGGATATCCTGAAGCACTCGTCCACCTTTGTCTGGGCCACCATCCTCATATGGAGCCTGGAGTTGAACTTCAGGAGCTGCCAGGCAGTGCCAGGCGGAAGCAGCGGGGAGCGGTGAGTGCTACCAAGGAGTCTTCGTCTTCATCTTCGTCCTCTCATCTTTTCATTATCTGAACTCTTTTTTTTTATTTTCCAGTGTCCACATCCGCCTCCACATGCCGGAGGTGGTGCGCAAACACACGCATTTCCACAACGTCTACAAATATCCCAACAAATTTCCACAGCACTCGTTTCCAGTGCCAGCGCCAGCGCCAGTTCCAGCCCCAACGGCAGCCCATCCGAAGCTGCTTGGAAAGCCGCACGTCCAGCTCTTGGGATACACCACAGCGGCGGGGGGAACGGGCTCCATGTCACCGAGTCTGATGCAGTTGATGGCCACAGCGGTGGCACCCACACACGTGCCACCAGCCCCCAGCAGCCTGTCCCCCAACTATGGGCCCGCTTTGTTCGATAACTTTAACCAGGAGCTGCTGAACGAGGCGGCATCCCTGAGCGCCACACCGACAACGACAGAGCGGCCGATCCCCAAGCCGGCGATGAAGCAACAGTTGCTGCAGCAGATCTTCACCCCGAACGTGATGTCTGCCCTGCAGCAAGAGGCGGAGCCCGAAGAGCAGGACAGTTCCCTGGAGGAGGATCAGTTCGAGAAGAACTCCCTGCTGAATCTCAATTTCCTCGACGCCCTCCAGCGGGAATATTTCAGCAAGTTTGGGGGCCGACGCAAGCGGAAGAAATCGCCCACAAAGTTTGGCACACGACCAAAGGAATATCATCCACTTCCTCCGGCAAAAACAAAACCATATTACTACCTGGGAAATCAGGAGGAAGACGATCCCTACGAACACTTCGAGGACTACAGTGACGAGCCGCAGGACGACTACGAGGAGGTGATGCTAATGTCGCCCGACAGGGGCAGGGGCAGGCATTCAAATCCCACTTCCTACATGGAAAGCTCCAGTAAATGGGGCGGCTACTTTCCGTCCGAAACGGACCTGGACGATGCCCAGGGCTACGACAGTGCTGTGGCATTCAGTAGCCAGGACAACAGCATCTCGGCCATGCCCACAGTCGAGGACTTCCTGGAGGATGCGAGCAATCATTCACCGCCTGGCTATGGCAACTTCTACGATCCCCATCCCTATCCCTCCTATGGCGGCTCCCAGCCATCGCCCTGGCTGCCATCCCCCACGGAGGCCAGCCCCTCCGCCGCAATGGCCAATAGTTGGGCCAAACCCAGCACCCCCACCAGCTCTCAGCCCACGAAGGGCCTCAGACTACGCCCCAGAAGGCCGGGCTCCGGCCACAAGGTCCGCTACGTGAAGCTGGTGACGCGAAAGAAGCGCAAAAATCGCGAAAGAATCAGAACGAAAAGATATCGCCCTTGATGATCGGAAATTCCGTTTTAGCTTCTAAGAATATGGTTTTCGAGTTACTGTCAAATTCATACGTTTAATAAAATGTTATTTACTTTTAGTAGAGAGATTGAAAGAGAAACCACTTGAAATCTGTTAAATGGAATGAAATGCATGCAGTCTTACCCAAATAAGTAAATTATTTAAAAGCACATCGAACTGGTTTTAAGTTCTTACCTAAAACGAGAAAGAGAAAGACAAATTTCAATTAGAAAAATAGTTCAAAAGAATATATAATAGTATACAGATATGAGAGTCCTTTCGCTTATGGGAACTTTATATGTAATTGAGGCGTAGTCCAGCAGGGACTCGGAGTCAGTGTAATTATAAATAATTAATGTATGGATGGCTATTGATATAGGACGGACCTCTGGGGGTTTCTTCTTTCATATTCTCGCGCTTCTCTTGGCTAAAACAAACTCTCATTAGATGAGCACACAGACCAGAATAGAAACCAAACCAGGGGGGCGAAACTAGAAGTAGAGGGTGAACGAGAGGAGAGACGAAGCCCATAAACAGTAACCAGAAACCGATTCGTAACCATCCCCTCGTTCCAGACCAAGCAAATAAAGTGCACAATTAAATGTGCAGAGTGTAGTGGGTGGAGGGTGGAGGGTAGAGGGAGGGCGGGCATTGGCCTCGACTCCGAGCAAATAATAAGTACAAATGCTAATAAAATTCAATTAAAGGCCACAAAATTACAATAAAAGTGGCCCGAAAAGGGAAACTAACTCTGGCCAAATGTCCGCCCAGACAAAGTTCGAGGCGAACGAAACCCCAAAAATGCTGGAGGAGTGCGGATGTGCGACTGGGCGCAGGGCGCAGGGGTGCCACATGAAAAGTCAAAATTAACGACTCATTTGGGCAAATTGAAGCCATAAACTACAAAGGCATAGGGAACGAGAGAGAGAGAGCGGGATAGAGGGAGCGAAAGTCAGGACCAGGCATCTTCATTCGCGACATTTGAACCAACCATACATATATATATATACTATATGTATTACATATGTATATATATATATTCCAAAATATATGCAGAGTCGGTACGCAAGAGAGTGATGGGAGAAGTGAGAGCTGTGAACCTGAAGGAGGATGTGTGGAAGGATGAGTTGGGCAGTCGTCAGTCTCTGCTTGTTCTGAATATTCCGTGGGTAGTACCCATTATTCCTAGGGCACATGTGCCTCCATAGTCGGACGAATGCCAGCCAGTGTGTGATATGGAACTCTGATCCGTAAAGACCAAATAAATAATAATACAAAAACTGTCAGATTAGCGGGTATCCTGTAGTCCGAAAGACGACGCTTGCTTTCTTGCTTGTTTTATTTATTTTTTCGGTTATAAACATAAAGGACAGCACCGAAGAGAGAGAGAGAGAGAGAGAGAGTGAAAGGAGAGTGCAGGATGAAACATTCGCTGCATACTTTGGGGGCCAACGAAATTAAAAGCGTGTAAAGATTTTCATTTTCTCGGGCAGAGCGGAACGAGGGTTGCGGCGTGGGTGGAGCGGGAGAGTGTGGCAAGGATATCTTCAGGAAAGTTTCGTAGCAAGCGAAACACATAAAGTGTTGATGTGTCAACCATATGACATTTATTGTTTAGACTACGAAGACAGCGATGTCTGGCTCTGGTTCTGGCTCTGGCTCTGGCTCTGGGGTGACATATGGGGAGGGAGGGGCAGCCGGAAACAAAGAGGAAGAGCAGCCATGTTTATTATGCCCACCAGATGGCATTTGGACAGAGGCAGAGGCAGAGTCAGAGGCAACAAGTGCAGAGATGCCAAACTCTAAGAAAGAGAGAGGGAGAGAGATGCCCCAGAGATGCGTGGGTGCCAGTCCTTGGTCCCATTTCAAATGATTTATGGCCGGGAGAAAGAGATATGAGGGCGGGCGGTGCGGGAGAGGATGATGTCATAATAAATAAATGTATTTACGATTAAAGTTATTCGAGGTTGAGGCCTGCGCAATGATCAATGGCTTTGTTATATGGCCATGAATAAATTGTTGGCAAAGGTCGCGAAGGAGTCGTGGGCTCTGTGCCAAAGGGAAACAGATTTGATCTATGAAGAGTGGTTCAAAAAAAAACTAACAAAAAATCGTTAAACTAATGCCGATCACACTTTACACTGGCTATAGCCAACTGGAAACCGAATTGGCAGCATCAGCCGAAAATAATATTGCCACAGTTGGTTCCCCCCAAACAAATTGCCAACACTTAAGTTCCGACCAATAAACACCCTTTACGACGATTTTTATGTTGGCCAACGGCGTAATTGATTTTCTCGATTTAATGGATAACAAACAAACAATCCCCACCACTGCTCTCGCAACAAAATGACCAATACTCTACAATATCCGATGATCCCCTGCCCTGCCAGTCTCTGGCCAACATGACAAATTTATCTGTCCACAAGAGCACAGACTCGTGTGAGTATTCGTGTGAGAAGAGGGAATATAAGAGCCACTTTCCCATTTCCGTTATTGTTTTAATGAAAGTGCCATAAAATGATCCCAGAACCATCGGAGGGATGGAAATACACGACAGATGGGAAAGGGCGGGGCAGTGGATTCTGATCCATCTCCTCCCACAAAAAGCATATTTGCCATCAAGTTTATAAGCCAAATAAACGCTTAATGATTCCTCTCGCATGTGCATCATAATAATTTCATTGAAAGAAAAATTAATTTTCCAATTCTCAGCTCGGAAACAGAAACATTCTCGTATATCGTTAGAGCCACAGGAAAATCATTTGTCATGGTGCGAGCGTGTGAAGGAGGAAGACCCCAACCCCAAAGAAAGGACGAAACGAAACGAACCGAAACGAAAAACTCTTTGGGTTGGCTAATTTCTAGACAAATGAGACTAGAAATCTTCTCTTGGAGGGGGATGCTTCTGCAATTGCCAAACAATTCATTAATTTAATTAATTTGTCGCTATTAAATATGGTTGCACAGTACCAGACGAATTTCAGTCCAGTCATCATCTACGATACTGAATGGGACAGTCATTTGTTAAATATACACCCATCCACCCACCCATCCATATAACAGTACCCCCCTCCCACTTCTCCTCATTCTCGTTCTCCTGCAACACTCGCATGTTCATCCATTCCCTGGAGAATCGAAGGGCCGACCTTTGGCCCATTTCTCTACTTTGTGTGGGTGTGGTTCAGGGTGAGGGAGAGCCGCCACAGAAGCGGGCTTAAATGGGTTAAGTGCTGGGCGGTAAACGCACTCATTCGCAAGTCTGCAAGACAAAAATGGAGCCAGCCAGCAGTAGCAGTAAACACCCACTAAAGCGAACCGGGTGTCTACAATACAATTACTTGTCATGCCACGCCCTTTTGTCGAATATCTCCGCCCAAAGGTAAGTGCAAAAAATAGTCATATCCAACAGAAGGGAGAGACAGAGAGCAGGTTGACTAGAATGGATATCGGATACGATAAACAGCGTAAAAGGAATACAAATTGAAGGAGAAGATTTATTTTAGAATTCGAATTGTGTAAAGTTCATCGATTGTTTTCCTGAAAATTCTTTACAATGGAGTACAATCTATCACAATTATTCAAGTGTATTCGAATGACATCATATTTTCCTTTCCTGGGTGTGGGTGTGGGTGTGAGTGTGTGTGGGTGTGTGTGTGTGTGTGTGTGTGGACGTGCCTCTACCCCCATGACACTCATCATCAAACGTACTTCATTTGCATTACAGTACGGAACGGCGCACCGTCCCCTTCCTCTCAACACCCCAGAAACAATCATGTAATCATCGGACAAACCGCTGGACAATTAAGCAATTTAATTAAAATGAAAAGTCCAGCAACAACAGCAACAACAACAAAATCGTCGTTGTCCAGAAGAGCCAGTAAATAAAATACTCGCGGGCATTACGACAAATGTATTACAAAATGCTAATTAAATGCCAGAGAAAATTGGGCCAAGCCTGCGAAATGGAAACAAACCTAATCACACCCCAAAGGGTCTCAAGGGTGGTGGGGTTAGGGTTGGAGTTGATTCCATTGAGGATTGTCCCATCCAAGCTCTCAAGTGCATTGTCCACAAAAAAAAAGTAGGGAACATTACAAATTCCTTGCGTATATTTGTGATAATTAAGTGAAAATTACACAATGTGTATCACACCCACAAGCACACAATAGCTATTACACTGGAGTATGTATTAATGTATGTATATTTATACCTCAGTCACTCTCCATTAACATACAACAATTACTGGCTAAATATGACAACAGAAGGACAATTTTAATAGGCACAACAGGCATTGCATTTAATTAATTATCAACATTATGCAATTTAGTTTGGAAAATAATTATACTTTGGAATTGAATACAATAAAATCTAATCCAAGCTAAGCGTGCTATGTTTTAATATTCAAAGTACATCCATTCCGATATCTGTTTATCAAACTTTGAGATTGAATTGAAACGAAATCCTTTCTGAGTGCACGCCTACTACATCCAGAAGCGAAGCGAAGATTATAAGTTCATCTCTTCCGAATCTCAGCCCCTGACTGTCAGTCAGAGTAATAAAGAGAATTAAATTTAGATTTAATGTAATTTCTGTTTGTTCTCCAGCAAAGGCTTAACTACTTTCTTTCCTTCATCTTCAATGTAATTTTCTGCTACATGTTACATGTTTTCTGTTACATGTTAAATGGTACCCAATGATATATGCATTTCCTCTTGAATCTGCAATTGCAATGCGAATTTACTCTGTTGAATTATATTCAATACGAAAATGGATTCACATTCACTTGGTTTGGACTTTCCAAACTCTCTTTTGGGGCCAGATTCAGTTATTATTATACTTTTTTCCTTCCCCAAACAAAAAAGAACGTGCCTCAAACAACAGAATATGAGATATTAAAATTCTAAGAATTTAACCTACTTCTAGTATCTGCTCTTACTTGGGGTTTATCTGCTAAATTAAATGTTTAGAGGCAGCACTGAAGTTGACATTTTCTTGATAACAATTAAAACGAATGAGTGCCGCAGTATCATCATCATCATCCGGAACC